GTGTAACTAGATGCAGCCAAAATATTAAGCCTAGAATTCAGCGCAATTTTCTGGATTGCTATGGTCCAAAGTGAGAGTTACAGTATCAGGGGGCAGTCCTCATCTAAGGCGGTTATTTTAGTAAGGGAGAGATTGGCTAGTCAAAACAGACACCTAAGTTTCAGCCTGATGAATCAGGGTGACGAACTTACCATCACCTCCAGCTGGAACCAGCCTTTATGTATAATTTCTGTTTACTTTTACAGAAACCTATGCATAGTGAGCATGATAGGACTGCTACTGTAAGCAATGGAAAGACATCAGGTCCAAAATGCCAAAATGATGGCATTGAAGTATTGCCAGTGATTTTTAGCAAACATATTCAATTCCACATTATATCTGACAGCAAAATATAAAAGTGAGAAAAAAATTTAAGTTATTCATGTTTCTTGTCCTCCTAATTTTTAAGAGAGATACAATTTAAACCTGGATCTGCCCTTTTGTCTGCATGACTTCATGCAGGAGTGCTTGGCTCTGCCTTGGATTACTGCTTTCTGCTCATACACAAAAAACAGGCACATAAGCACGTGTCAGAGAGCAAGCTGAAGCTGTGTTTTTCTTTCTGTGTGAAAAAGCCCACCATCTTGCTGCTATGAAGCATAGAAAAGCAGTAAAACCTGGGCTGCTTGAGCCCTGAGCAGTGCGAGGGGCCAGCTTGCATCCTGACACTGCCCCCTCCTTCAGCTGCCTGGGCTGCACCACCCACTCACTCCTGAATGAGGCAAAGGGTTTTGTTTGCTTTCCTGCTATTTTCCTGAACAGAAGGTTGGCATAGTCACCCCAAATCTATTTTTTCTAGTTTCTCTCTTCAACACCAATTCTTAATTCTCTGCACTATCAATCATGAAATACCACATGGAAGTCAGTACTTGCCGTGAAAAACAGGCAACTCAGATGGCCTTTGGAAACTGGATATTTGAATGAATATTGCCGAGCCAAAAGGTTACAAGGAATGCCAAGTAAAGAATCTCTCACAGAGACCCACTGGAAGCATGGTAGAAAACAGAAAATGCAGAGCTGCTTCAGGGACTTGCCCATTCTGCTTGGTGCAAACATCTCACATCAAACAAAGCAGCAGCTTCTAAAGCCCACTGAAAGTAAAGACGCTTACCAGTGGGAATGAATGGCCCTTGTGTCTTTTGAAATGAGCCCATGCTCCTGAACATGTAATTATGAACATCCCCCAACAAGCCAGCATCTCTGACAGTGACAGGTAGTAGTAATTGCAAAACAAGCAGCAAGGAAGTAAAAAGCTGGAAAAAGCAGCTCCTTTCTTATTCCTCAGTTCAGGAAACATTGCTTCTAATCTGTCTGACATTTCGTGTTCATCATCCAGAGTGATGCGACTCAAACTGTTCCAGATCCAGTCATTGATTCTTTAGTGACAAAGTGATCTCATAGATCTCTGATGTAGGGAGCTGAGGCATACAAAACCCAACTGCAGAAATAAGAGCTGTTTCTTGGAGTGCTTGGCAGACACCTAGTAACTAGGTGTGTTTGTGGTTCACAGGAACATTGTAAGCTACTGCAGAGCTTTGGAAGGAAAGGTAATAATAGCCTTTAGTGGCTCATTGTGGCTAATAAAACATGTAAAAGGAAGTAACAAACAGCTTTGTGAGCTCATCTCTCTGTGGCATCATACATTCAGATTAGGTAGCAGAGGCTTGGTTAACAGTATTGCATACCTTGCCAAATCACTGAATCCCTTTGTGTTCCTAACAATAACCCATCTACGAGCTGATGCTGATGTTTACCGTTTTACAGTATAAGAAACACGAAGTATTAGAGTAGTTACAAATCACACTACTGGCTTTGTACTTTGCTTCCAGGTGACCAACATCAACTGTGTACATAAATACCTTGTCATTGTTGCTTCACATGGCTTCCCCATGAACAAATACAGTAGTTGTTTTAGGATTTTAAATAATCCCAGGGGTGAGGAGATATGTAAGAAAGGAATGTTTGAGACAATCCCACTATTCCCTTGGCATTGCTACACACTAAAATCTGGAGATGTTTCTGTGTTTAAACTGAGATCTCAGATCCTGGCAGACTACAGAGTGACAGATGAGAAATTAATACCTGTCATGCCAGGAAACAGCTTTAAGATTTCACAACACCACATGTCCTCCACAAAGAACGAGAGAAAGGCTACCAGTATCATTTAAGTCACTCAATACCACTCTGAAAAGTGGTATCCCTTCAGTTAATACATATTCTAGGACAACAGGCATGATTTACAACTATTCCAACCAACCTATAAATCAACACCCATTAAAGCAAGTTACAACATAGTTCTCCCTTGGTAAGTTATGGGTTAAATGTGTCCAATATTACAAAATACTTTCAGAATTACAAGTGACGTGCTTTGTACATTTACATTTTTCTATACAGTGGACCAAATATAGCACATAAGTGCTTGGAAGTGCTGCCGTAATTGGTGCTTCTTTCTCTTGCAGCAAGGGCTGAGTTTGGGTCAGTTATCTCCATACAATAGTTTCACTTAATGAGAAAGACATGACTGAGATTTCAGATGAAATTAGTAAGCTGAAAATTCTCAGGGTTGTTGCCATAGCTACTTGAAACCTCCTGTTAAAAAAAAGGTACTTAGAGAGGGCAGAGGAAGAGAAGGAAAAAGTAGGAAGAGAGCAGTATCATGGTCAGGGTTCGACCACGTGATAGAGAGAGGCAATGATCTTGAAGGAGCAAGACTTCAGTGATAACACACAGAGCAGGTTATCTGGGAAGCCAGTATTTTTGCCTTATAGTTAGGGTTGATTCTATAGACATTGGTTATTTTTAAGTGGTTACCACAGTGACTAAACACAATGCACTGGCAACTATTATATCAGCTAAAGCAGAAAGGTATCCGGTAGGGAGAGAAAGATTTTTCACAATTCATTTAATAAAGCAATGACCTCATTTCAGAACACCAGAGTGCTTGTTTTTCTACTTTATAAATAGTGAAGCTTGCAGCAATCATATTTAATCAGAATAAATGTTTTAGTGTCTGAATAAGTTAACAGCAGAAGCACAGCTGTAGACATACTACACTAGACAGCATTTTGCACAATTGCAGACAGGATCAAAATACCCAGTGAGATACAGGCTGAAAAACTAACACACCTGGTAACTGTGCTTGTAAGTCTTTCCTGTTACCATTTTATATTGTTGGTAGCCTGTCATTTTAGCTCAGGGAAGGCACTGGAGCAGTTGGGAAAATTGCTCTGTCCTAATCTGAGACTGTATTTTATAAACACTACTATATGAAAATCTGTCTTGGTCCCAGGGAGCAAAGGACTCTTCCTTTCTTGCTGCTTTCTCTCAATCTGTAAACATTGAGACTTTTTCTGTCCCTTCCCCCTCCAGTTCTCTGTACTGGCATCCTTGCTCAGCATCATTGTGCTTTGTAGGGAGAACAAAAGATAACTCACAATGCTAATGGAGAACTATGTTTTACTAAGAATGCATTTTCTCTGAGAACTGTCATACTGTATGTGCAGTACTGTGGCTAAGAGTTTTCTGCTGGTTTTAGAGCAGAGAAAGCCACTTGTTCACACAAGTTATAGACAAAATTGAAAAAAAATATATATATACACACCATACATAGCAGCATGGCTTAAATGATTATATAGCATAAGAGTTGTGGGAAGTTGAACAAAATTCACTATAAGCAGCTGTTGTTACCCTCATTAAAGAAGCCTTGCGAGTTATCTCTTATGACCCCACAATTACAATTACTGCTTTCTGTCTATTTATTACAGTGCTACCAAATGATCTCCACATTTCACTCAAATCAGCGAGCTTCCAGCTCATGGGCACACAAACATTTTTGCTACTGTACAAACCTGATGGGCTGCGAGACATCCATCCCCAGGCCTGAGTTCTCCATCCCAGGCTAGGGCTTTGTCCCCTCAAGCCTCATGAAGGATACTTTGCGCCACCCATTCCCTTTTTTTTTATTGTAGAAGCCTGTATGGATTGCAGGAAGCATCATACGTTTAAAACCTCAAAGCAAGTTAGCGCCCACTTCCACCTGCAATTCACTCTTGTACTTGCCCAGTATGAAAGAACTTGAGCCTTGTCAGGTGAATGGATAGAAAGGTATGGAAGAAAAAGGTAGAAAGAAATACAAACTATTGTGCAAGCAGCTACCAGGACAATGAGGAAATAAACTCCTGTAAACAGTATTCCTTAGGTAGGGAAGTTAAGACAATCAACAGCTAATGAACAGAGATAAGAGCACCATGTAGGGTTAGAGTATTACATGTATTACAAACTTTACCCAAGAACAGGCCAAACCACTACATTTCATACCTTTTAACACTCCTAGAGGTTTTTTCTCCAGAAATAAGAGAACGAGGTGGCAAGATAATCAGTTATCTTTATCTGCTTGCATCTCACTCATTTATACACAAATCTAACACTTCTTATATTCTATGGGATGGGGATGGAAAGAATATGACTACTTTTGTCACAAGACAGCAATATTGAAAGAACAGCTCAATGCACCAACTTTCCTAAAGCAACAAGTAGCAATCAGTACTAAGTTTTACCTATACAGCAGAGCATGCACATGGGCCTCATGTATACCCATTACAAAGTTCAGCCACTGTGCAATTTGGATCACAATATGAGTCTACAATTAAAGCAAGTCTTTTAATTGACCATCTTATTTCTGGAAGACAATATGCAATACTTACTCAGCACAATGAGAGCCCTGAATTCAACCTTGACTATCACAGCAGGAATACAGAGTCAGGTACCCACACCCTCTTTTTCTGGGGGTGGCAGAGAAGTGCTAGGTGTCAAGATCCAGAGAACACTTGCCTAAACATAGTATATACAAAGGATAATAACTTACTTTTCCAGCCTGTTTATGCTTAATGCTGTTACAGTAATTAACTGATACCCCATATTGAAATTTCAGTTGAGGATCTAGTATCACAATATGACAAAGCTTTTCAAAATGTTGAAAGGATTTATTGCCATTTGGAACATGTTTACTGTTCAGAAACACTGAACTGAAATAAAATCCATCACATACATTCTTTGTTATCTATATCTTTACAGCAATGTAATTTTCAGGCAGGTCATGCAGGGAAGCCACTCTCCCAGTGAGATCAAAAACTACTGAAAGGCACCTTGTGTCTTTCAGATCTTAGACTCCAAACAAGTTAAGTTTTTGTCTGTGTAAGGATTACATACATCTAGAGCAACTCAAATAGTAGGAAAAATAAAATCTACTTAGAACTTCTTAAAGAACAGTACCAGACCTTGTTGCTTTCATTTATTCAGTGCTATGATTTTGCTCTTCCAAGTCCTCTTCAAATAATGTGCGACTTAAAAAATGGGTATTAATGAAGTCTCTTTACTGAGACAAGGCATGCAGTAAGGGAAGAAGGATGGCCGGTCACTTCCAGGCTGCCTAACTACACATTTGTTCTTGTAGATTAGCAAGCCACTGCCCAAGTTAAAAAAAAGAGACAAAATAGGAATGAATGCACCCAAGTTAAATGGCTTTTAAGAATGTTAATACCACCTACAGTTACTAAGCCATCATACACCGCTTTTGTAGACCGTTAGATAAAAAAGTTGATTTTCAAATATTGCTTGTTATTCAGATGTCTAACTTTTTATTCAAAGGGTAGTTATTAAGGACCTGTAAGGCAGCAAAACTTCAAATGCAATGGTTTACATTGCTGAATACCACTCTCAAGAGGCAAGATAAAAAAAATTAGTAGAAGGATTCTTGGTGGGGTCATTCATAATAGGTGTTTGTTTTAACCCCACTGTAATTGTCACAGCAAATGTAGATGGCAAGTCTTCCTTAGTTGTAATTCAGGATAAGCATATTCCATGGCTTACTTCAAGTTAGATATTTAGTTCTTTTTCTCAAACCTGCCAAGAGAAGATAAAGTTTTATAAGAGTGAATATTCAACTAGAATTGCTATAAAGAGTCTGGACTTAAAACAGAACTTCAGGAATGAAAGACAACATTTGGCCAGTTACTTATGGAAAAGCATGTTCATTTGCAGTTTTGCTCACTTTTTAATTTATAGTTCAGGAGGCTTCATCATCCCATTACTCCCCATCAATTTCTTGGGGCCAAAGTAAAAACAGCCAGAATCCTGACTCACGAGCACTGCCTAGGGCAGTGTCTGCACTACTTGCTACGCAGTGAGGGTGTGAGACTACTTGCAGGCTGGTCCTCAGTCACACTCAGTTGTATCTACCCGATACATAGAAGAGTCAGCTTAGAGAGGTTTTCCTTAATTTCTGTTTCAGATATACAACCCCTTCCAATGTTTCCATCTCAAAAACTAGTTACTGAGACAGACACATGCAGACTAATCAACATAATACATGAAACAAACCCCAGAATAGCCAGCAGATGCATAAGTCCTATCTACATCCATGAATATAAGGGTTTTCAGTCTTTTCTGTGTATCCCTTGGAAGTGTCAAAGGGAGTGCAAGGCAACATGCCATAATTAGCCTACTGACAACAAGCTTGTTAATAGGTTTTCAAAAGGTAATGATGTTACACAAGTTCAAAAGCCATGCAAGGGTTTCCACTACAGTTACAAATGTACTAACAGAGTATTCCAAGAGCCATCACTTTATGACTTCCCTTTTTTGATATGTGACTTGCCTGTATTTGATCAGTCGTCCTCCTTGAATAAGTTGTGCAATTTCATTAGTGAAGTGGCATGCAAAAAGAAGCCAGTTTCTTGGCTGCACTTTATAGGCAAATCTCATGAAAGCCAAGGAGTAAAAACACAGTGCTGTAAAACGTAATAGATATTATTAGATTTTTAATACCTGCACTTTGTTGAGACAATTTTCATACTAGTGGAATGTAATGACAGTTACAATGCTTCTCACTTCTTTTAAGTTTCCCAATATTCCTACAAACATGTCCATATTAATGACCCAATGAAGGAAAATACACACCAGTACTCATTTTTGCTACACAAAAATATCTACAGGGCTATAGCTTTCCACAAAAACTCTGTTCCCTCATATACTTTCCTGTGATACAACTGAGTCTTTAGCTGGTTACCTGTTCTGGCTTCAGCTGGGATAGAGTTAATATTCTTCCTAGTAACTGGTACAATGCTGTGGTTTGGCTTTAGTAGGAGAATAATGTTGATTATACACCAGTGTTTTAGTTGTTATTAAACAGTACTTTCCCCAATTATGGACTTTTCAGTCTCTCATGCTCTGTCAGTGAGGAGTGGCACAAGAACCCAGGAGGGAGCAGAAACAGGACAACTGATCCAAACTAGCCAAACGGGTATTCCATGTCACAGCACATCATGCCCAGTATATAAAGGGGGGGGGGGGGGAAGGCAGGGAGCGGGAGTTGGCCAGGAGCTGCTAATCACTGCTTGGGAACAGGCTGAGCATTGGTCAGTGGGTAGTGAGTAATTGTACCGTGCATCACTTGTTTCCCGAATTTTACTCCTTTCTCTTTTTCCTATTATTTATATTATTATGTTTTACTTTCAGTTATTAAACTGTTCTTAACACACAGGTTTTGCCTTCTTCCGATTCTCCTCCCCATCCCACAGAGAGAGCTGGGGGAAGGGGAGAAGTGAGCAAGCAGCTGTACAGTACTTAATTGCTAGCTGGGGTTAAACCACAAGACTACCTAAACTATCTCAGGCAGAGAAGACTTAATCCCAATGAGGCATGGCCTGTCTTACACAATTATTCTGACAACTTTTGGGACAGAGTATTTTTAAAATACTAATTACTTAGATACAGTTCTTGCTGGGAACATTTTAAAACAGACTTTAAGAGAAGGCAGTTTCTATCCCCAGAAAATCATGAACATTGAGAAGCATAAAGCTTTGTTATCTGCTTTCCAGGAACATAAGAAATAATTTTAATCTACTCTATCATAATTGCATTTAAATACAGGAAATTACAACCAAAGATGTCAGTAGCTTTGCAAAGTTCTGACAGGCTTAAAGAAAAAAAACATGAAATTAACTGTCCAAGGAAAATAGCCTCTTTTAAAGTACAGAACCTAAAAGATGGGAGAAAAACATTTGTACCACCCTATGTATATGTATAAAAATTAAGCATGTCTCAATTTGGCTGAACTGGGTAGCTGCCACAAAACCACTATTCGCAAAACAGTTTCACTATGCCAGAAACTATTCTAAGCAGTCTTCCATCTTGAAGAAGCTGATTAGGACTCTGAACTACTATAAGCAGAACCTAGTGTAAGTTTGCATAACCCAAAGCTATTTGCTTGGGAAAAGAAGAATTAATCGGAATTATTAACTGAATTAAGGAAGAAAGTAATACAAAAATTAAGCTACTAAATTAAAGCTACCAGATTTATGATACTAGAGAAGAATTTGAATGCAGAGACAGATGTATGCAAAAAGCTACACATGGTCCAAAAAAGGTGGAAAAAAATACTGTTTATGCATTTAAAAAACATTTCTCACTATTCCATTAAAAATCACACTAGCCTCTCACAGGCACTTTCTTGCAAGGAGTTCATCTCCCTTAACTGCTTTTTGCACTCTGAAGACCAACCATTGCCATTTCTTCACTTTGTCAGTGTTGGTATTTAAGTTTCACACTAACCACAAAACATCATTGTTCTCTATACAAAGAATAAATTAGGTAAAGAGATACATTCTGAACTAGTGTGCATAGTAGTATAAGATAGTAAAAGAATTATTCTTTAGGAGCGAGTCTGGTGATCAAAACTGCCAAGGCTCAAGACCCACATCCCTCTCCCTCCCAAATTACTGGAAAGCTCTCTAGAAAAAAAAAAAACAAAACCCCACAACTCTGCAGCTTTCCAGTGCCTCAGTTTTCAAGTGGCCTCTAAAGTCCTATAACAAGATATTTCATACCTACATCTGCTTTAATCACAAGTTTGCAGGCAACTAGTAATGCACCACTTGACAAATTATTACTTGCCTGAAAGAAACTTGAAAGGAAAATATGTGTGCTGTAGTCTGTTTACTAACAATTAGTTTTGGGTCTTACCAAATGTCATTCGGCCACTAACAATTTCTGGCGATTTCTTCATATCATTAAAAGCAGCAATAGGAAGCCCCCAGTTGGCAACTGGCCCCCAAAAGTGCTGCAAAGACAGAAAATGAAAATAAAGTTACACAGAAACACAGACCTCCTATGGTATTCTTACAGATCCCCTTAGCCACACAAAGCTTCAGAGGACAGGGTGAATGGTAAAATTCCATGTAAAGATATGGACTACTTTTGATGTAAGGGAGAAAAACTAAACCCTTCTTTCAGCAGGATCTAGCCTTCAGAGTTGAAGGAACAGGAGCCCACTCTGAATCTTCTTGCAGACTGCAGAGGAACTACTGAAAGGCCACTAAAACACAGTTTTGTGTAATTATACCTCAGACATCACTGAGCAGTCTGATCAGTATAATCATATAATAATCTCAGATTTACAGCTCACTTCTATGCAGAGAATTAGGCTCCTCAAAAATGTAATGAAAACACAAGGACTTGCTGAAGTGAAGAACTGGAACTGTTTTCATGTTATGCCTAAGATGAAGAAATGCTCATCAAGCAGCTTCTTCCAAGTGCTTACAACACCTCTTGAATGAGCAGGGCCATGCAACCAAACCAAGCTGTTACCTAAAACTTCATCTGCAATTGCCAAAATAACCTGATGGCTACCTAAGTCTCAGTGATTAGACAGCTCTAAGATTAGAGCATTTGGCTACAGGTGTGTACACAGAAAAACAGAGACAAGAAGCAGAAAGAAATCAACTCAGAAAAACCGATGAGAGCTCAATTTGCTGGGTATTGTCTGAAAGACTGAGAAAAATAGTCTCCTAAGTCAAATATCCCCTATTGTTACAAGTTAACAAGCCTTCAGTAGAATTCTTTCCACAGAAGATGCATGCAGTACTTGCATCAGCTTCTCCTAATGGGAAGCTATGGATGCGCAAAATTAACTTGGCCAGATATGGCAAAAGAGAAGCACCTTGCAAGAAAAAGCTCTGTAGATTCCAACTTTATCCATTCTTTTGATGCTTCCTCTAAAATGCAACACTGAAGATATTGCAACAATTTTGAATTGTCAGGCAACATTTAAGTTTCTTGCAATTTTAATTCAAAATACTCTAGCCAGTCTGGATACTAGCTTGTCAACACTACAGTAGGATTAAAAGCCATGCTTGCTTCCTGAAGATTTGGGTTGCGATACAAGAAACTGAACTAAAAAAAAAAATGCATGGAAAAAGTGAGCTAAGTGGTACACATCATTTTGATAGTTTAACATTAGTGCAATATGCAAAAAAAATGCCATATTTCTGCAAGTGTCTACAGAACTGACACCGGTCCAAACCTAGGTTTATAATAAGAGTATGTCAAAAGATACAATAAATGCATTTGTTTACTATATTGCTACTTGTAGGAAAATTGACATCCAATGGTTAAAGCCTCTCAAGTACATGAGAGGTACAATGGCATAACTGAGAAGTTGCATGGCTACATGGCATTTAGACTGTACAGCTATAGTTAAATAACGTGAAAAAAACATAACACCACTTACACACAAGGTGTTGCAACAAGAACATTCATAGAAAACAGTCATGAGCACACAACATACTGTTTAAGTAAGTTTAGAGGCTTTAATGTAGCTATTTAAATAAAGTACAGTAAGAGAACCAGAAACAAACATCTACTCATAACCATAAATATTTTTACAGTAAGACAGCAAGACAACTTGTGTAAGCATTACCCCACTATAGCAGACTGGAAACCAGAACTGGTAAGGCAGTACATGTACTCTGTGAGGTTTTTAGTTGTTCCAGGAGTCTTGTTTAAAGAACTGTAGTTTCAGAAGAATAAGTCTTTACAGCTCTAAGCTTGATTTTTTGACTCTATGAAACAGATCTGGAAGTCCTAGTGATAACTTCTTCTTACTTCATTCAACTGCTATTCAAACATAAACACACATCATAGACTATGGATCACTTCAAGCTCAGGCTGCACAAGCTGAAGAATCATCAGTTCACATCCAAGGAGCACTGCAGCAGTAACTCCTGCTGACCAGGGAGGTAGATTTAGAACCTGCTCACTTGAGATTGTTATCCAGTTTTAAGTGCCTCCAGGCAGCCAGCCTTTGAAGTTTCAACACAAGAATTAAACTACACCTATACAGTTTGCTTTTGGTCTACACAGATGAGCAAGTCTTCCATAATATTATGATTCACAGTATAACAGGCATAAAAAAAAAACCACTCCCAGTTTCAGAAGAAAACTAAAAGACTGAAGAAAAGAGTCGTCTAAAGTGAGAGTTATTATGTCAGGCAATAAATGGTAACATAAAGCTGGTTAAAAAAATAAACCAGGTAGTTTGGTTATGAACCAGTATTGTCGCTATGCAGAAGAGTGGCTATACCTTGACCTGATCTCTGTACCAAAGGGTATGGAAAAAATGAAACCCCTTTACTTTTGCAGTGATTGCTTTACGAGATATTGTGAAGGAGCTAATGTTTGGTCACCTTAACCCCAGACTTGCAAATAACTCTTACTAGTACATCACTCCTGGAAGTCTGCAGTGTGCTTTCAGATGCAAGCAAGATCATAACAGTGCTGAGGCAAAAAGGCTGCAAGTTACTGAAGTCATATGTGAAACCAGAAGTCCTCTCCCTTTTCTTACCGTACTGTTGAAGTGGGCCATCATTTTCCATTCAAAAAGCACATGGAAGAAAGAAGAAAAAAAGTGTTAGTTTCTTTCATAATCAGCATAATGAGAAGTGCATCACAAACAGAAAATAGGTAGGAGTCAGAAAACTGTCCTGGCCTTAACCTTGATTAACATAGCAGTATTAAAAATTCCATTTCTCTCAAGAGCTGTCTTTGTGACAACTGTTTGCTGCCTAGCATCTTTTTCATAGCGAGACAAAAATCCCATTATATTCTGTGGAAAACACTTATACCCTATAGTCTTCAAAGCATCCAAGATGCTACCCCAACTAATTTAAAAGGACAACCATTTCTGACACAAGGTTTGTCACGACAAAACTGAACAGCTCCAGTTCCTCTGTGGGAGCTCTGAAGAACTTGGAATTTTTTGTACATCCTTTGTACTAAGTAAGTAGGTCAAACCAAATATTGCCAAAGATCTTACTGTTACTAAGCTTAGTCCAACCGTGGCTGTACCAGACATAAGCTATATTATATTTTCAGTGATGTAATATACATATTTTCAGTGATCTAACATGCAATTACACTCCAGTCATGTATGGGGTTCATTTAAGTGATCATCTAGGTACCAATTTATGTAATAACTTAATGATCTATGCATGGAAGCTAGACTACAGCATATATGTAAGATTGCTTGCTACTCTTTTTAAAATGTTTCAGAATTTTTAAGTGTCCTTTTTCCAAAGATACTGATAGGACCCCATGTAAATCATGACTTACAAGAAACCAGCTACTAATAAAAAGCCTACTACTGCAGAACACTTAAGTCACCTCCCTCACACTGATTTCCATATTCTTAGAGCACTGTTATACAAATAGCTACAGCAGGGGAACAGTCAGGTCTAACTCAGGCAATCACACTGGCTGCATCTGAATCAGCGTGTGGCTTGTAACAAGATGCTTAGTGTCCTTGATTAGTCTAACCACTTTTTCTTGTTTGTTTTCTTATGAACTGAACTGCAGCAATAGTTAATTGAAGTAAACAAGTGCATACTCCCCCCCCCCCCCCCAATAAAACCTTAAATAAACAAGTTCAAATATGTCTTCTGGCATGCTTGGGTTTGTGCCAACAGAAGTCAGCCTTGATTTTTAAATTGGAAGTTGTTTTCAGGCAAGTAAAAGCCTAAAATAGAACCAAAGTGATGCTATTTTAACAGAGTAGGCAGCTCTGGCTAAGATCATCCTCACATTCACATGAGATTGGTACAGTTATTATACTCCTAAAGAGAGCAGATAAAGGTCATATAAACTCACAGAAGCAGGCATCCAGCCCCAAAGCTCTGCAGCCAATACAGCTACAACAAATGCACCACAACCAATAGCAAGGACACTGCAACAAGTGTGCTCATTTATTCCTGGTCCATTTCAAATTAGCAGTTATGAAGAACTACATTGAATCCCTTGACAAAGGGAACACTTCATACTAACATTTCCAGAACTGTGGGAGGAGCTGCTGAATTTACCCATCCAGTTTCTGTGTGTCTGCTTTCTGTATAAATTCCTGGACATCACAAGAGGAACTGACAGCTGATCAATACCTTACATTGCTACTACAATTCATTCCAAAATGGCTATATTGAGAAAGATTTTTTCAAAATAATTCATGTATGCATTTTCTTCATATTGGCAGTCAGGATATTAACAGGCCGGAGGCCATCCTGCAAATACAGATGAAGTGTCACCACTCTGTTTCCCCACACTGCCATCGCCAAGAGGTGATGATATTACCCTTCTGCAAAAGATTGTTCTGTTCTTGGAGCATATGAGACTGAGACAGCAAGCACAGTGTCCTTCAGTTTCTCACACAGACCAGTAGAGGAAGTAGAGGACCTTTTTTTCTTTTTTAATTTCCTTGTGTTTAAATATTTACTAATGAAAACAGACGATAAGTTAATTCTGTTTACATTACTGATGCTAACTCTCCTAAAGTTCATTTCAATTAAAAGAAAGGTCCGAGACAGTTTATGTCAACATAAGTGCTCAAGCTTTACACGGAATGAACTATTTCAAAGCCACCTAAATTGACAATGACTACCTTTGCATTATTGCAGAGTCGTCAGGAAGAGATATTTCAGAAGTGCCTCAGAAGACCAAACTCTCTACGCTTATTTTTCTATTACCAGAAGATTTTGGGACTCCTTGGTTTTCCTTACGCAACTGAAGTACTTTACATTTCTACCACAAGACAATACCAGAACTTGCCTAGAGTGGTGTATATAGATCTTCTTTTTCAAAAGAAGAGAAATCTGCTTTACTGGATGTTTTTTAGAAGCTACTGGTTTAAATCATTAGAAGAGAAATTAAGAGGATTCAGTTGCATACTGTTAATGGCTTAGATAATATAACTTTAGTGACAACTGACATTTTTAAGATCTATGGAAAAGAAAACATGCAACTTCAAGGTCATAACATATAGAGCTACCAGACTTTCACAGGCCACTCAGCAAGTTTTAAGTTAACATTACTGCTGCGTTTTACAAGAACCAGAAGCCTACCTACAGCTAACATTCTAACTAAGCTGACTTTAAAGCATTAAAGACAACAGTTAGAGTAAATGCGTATTTACATGATTTACAGTCATTCAGATCCCTATTAATCACCACTTAAGAGAAGCCAGATGTGAAATTGGCAGAACAATTAATTATTAATGACAGTTTTAAAAGCAATTTATCTTGGTTCTTTGTGCAAGATCCAAAAGCTAACCTGATGTAAAGCAATTCTATTGCCAGATATATCCACCTGAGAAAAGCAGCATGCATTCACTGTGCTTGCTTTCAAGTTTTCAAGTTATAAAGCTGAAACTAAAGCTACTTATTTCAATAGAGGTCTGCAAGTTTTTACTGCCCTAAGCCATAATACTGGAACATGCAATTCCACCTCTTTGTGTAACTTGAGTTATTCTATTTGGGGTCAAGGATTTTACAGTTAAATACTGGTATCACAAGCAATCTCTCAATTCATCATTTCCCACAAAAAAAACTTTCACATTTATGAACCCTTGCTTCACTGCAGTCATTAGATGCCGATTTTTAGAGCAGATACATAGTCTTAGAGCTTTGAGGAAAATCTCTTACTCAATGAGCACAGCAAAACTGTAATTTTCTTCAGGATGATCCTGTAGGCTGGGGAAGCAAGAGCCTTCAGGAAAGAATGTAAAGAGATAATAGCTCAAAGTACATACACTCCATTCCTTCTATGGAGAAGACAGACTATGGTCTTTTATTTACATGTTATCTAAATTTTAACCTCAACATAAAGGCAACAACTTAAACAAGTAAGCAAGAAACAATACTAAAAGGCCATACCACATAGAACTACTGACTTTAGCTCTTCATGACACTCAGTAACATAAGTACAAATTTACCAGGTATCTTTGTATGCAACACTAGACCACCATAGGATTATCCTTTTTTGCAATACAGTCTTATAGCTTATTTCAAGCCTAGAAATAGGATTAAGTACCCTGAAAACGTTTATTTTGTCTACCTTTTCAGTCTTTATCGAGAACATACATACTTCCAGCAAGTAACTGTGGTGGTGTTCGGAAGATGCCATTATCTTCTCTGGATTTTTGTTTGTTTTCTTAAGTATGAAGCATACTGCTGCTTTGCTAGCCATTTATCTACTTCGCCTGAATTCTATTCAGTGAACTAAATGTTAACGTCAAAGCGCACCTATCAAGCTTCCATATTATCATGAAGACTTTCAGAAGGAATCCACACAGAAGCCTGCTTTAACCTTCTTTTGTTTTGCTTCAGGGATGTTCTCTTCCTCATCTTTTTGCCCCACTGTTTCTATAGAACTTGATTTTGCAAGTGCCAAACAAACCCTTTTGCTTCCTGAGCTGTTATATTATAATCCCCCTTCGATGCAGGCTTACACCATCTGCTACTTTCACCAAGACTGTTTCTCTGATAAACAGATGCCTGCCCACATACTTGCTCAATATCAAACATCAATTGCAATACATGTAGGTAGAACAGCAAGCAAGACCTATACTGAAAGGTTGCTCAATCACCTGTATTAGAAGGGCCCATTTTTATCTTTTTTCTTTGTCAAGCTTCTTGTCAGCCAAAGAAACCTCAGCCTGCCTATTCGAGACTCACTCCATAAGCATTTCCACCAGATTTAAGCAAATATGCTGCAATTGCATCTTTAGGGCATTCCTGTGATTTCACTTCGCGATGCCATTCCTCTCACCAGAACACACATCTGAAGCTTGACAAAAAGAGTATTGAGCTGTTTGAGAAGTGACTAAAGCCACATTCCCATGAAATCGGGGCTTTAACAAGCCTCTGGAAAACGTTCATATTTACACATACTCAGACACTTAAATATGTGGTCTTAGGACCGCATCTGTTAAACTCGCTTCTGCACACAGTAAGAGCAAAGCTCTTTCTGCCCTGATTGCAGGCAGCGGTCCGAGGGCCCGTGTCCCCGGCTCCTGCGCCTTCTGCCACCTGCCCCGGAGACAGGGCAGCGCTCCGGGCTGGTCCCACAGCCGACAGAGGAAAGGTCACACTGAAGTGCAGCTGCCGCAGCATTCAAACCGTGCCGCGTCGCTTCAAGGTCAAGCCCGGTTTCCCCGCGGTGGGGCGGGCGGCTGACAGCCCCGACGGCCTCCGCCATGCACGGGGTGCCTCGCTGCCCTCCGCCATCCACACCAGCACGTCCGGGCCAGCTTCGCCCTCCCGCGCTTTCCCTCCTGCCCCCGCGCAACCACCGGCGAGGGCGAGCTTGGTAGAGGTCAAGCGACACCGCCCGGCAGCAACCACTACCTCGGATGCCCCAAGACAACGGGGGGGAAGAGTTTGGGGAAGAGACGCCGGTCGCCACTGCCCGCCCAGGCAAAGTGAGGCCACCCGAGGCAGAGGCGGGCGCGGCAGCCGGCAACGACCCCCGCGCGGCGCTCCACTCACCTCATGAGGTAGTCCCTGAACTCCTTGCTGCGCAGATAGTCCACGGCCTTGCGGCCCAGCGCCCCCGCCATGGCGACCCTCAGCGGCAGGCAGCGCCCAGCCCGCGCGTCTCCCTCGCTACCAACTACCGGCACCAGTGACAACTCCCTTAGCCTGCCCAGCCGGCGCCCGCTTTACGGCAGCGCCCTCACCACCGCCCCCTCCGTCAGCACGGCGCTCTCGGCACCTATTGGCCGCAGCGGCCCCGCCTCCCTCCTCCCGGCCTCCGAAACAGAGAAGGTGAACGTGGGGAGGGGGAAAGGCCGTAAAGCAACGCGGAGGGAGGAGGGGGAGAAATTGTCGCAAAGCGCGAAGAGAAGGGTCGCCGGCGGTTGAACGGGCGGCATTCCTCTGCAGACCGTAGGGCAGAGCCGCGCGACGGCTTTCCAAGTTCCTATTGGCTGCCCGGAGGCAGCTGGTGGTTTCCCATTGGCTAGTGAGGGGCGCATCCCGCCCCCCCCAGCAGTGTCTTGCTCCGCCTCTCTCAGTGTCAGGCGTTTCGTTGCTATAGGGCTGGCGGTGGTGGGGTGTTAGTGGTGTGAGAGGGCTATTTGGGTATGCGGGTGTTAGGAGAGCCTGTGGCTGCTTCAGTGATTCTTTTTTCATTATTTAAGATAGTCCTATGTTGTTTTGTTTTGTTTTTTGTTCTTTTTTAAGAGTCCAGTTTATGGACTTGGAATGTTTGGAGCTGGGAATACCGGGGTATGGCAGAGCAGTGCAACAGTTCAGGCTTTCCCTCTGGACCTGAAATGGTTTAAGATCCTGCTTCTCACCAGCACTTTCTGTTTCATACCTGAGCAGAGGTTACTTATTTGGACGGGGAGATAAGCTCTAACCCTGCTAATGCTGTCTCCATAAAATTTGGGCCATATAAACAAACACCTGTGTGTGAATTACATCTTTTATCTTTGCTCATTGCACTAGAGATAGTGAAAATGGATGTTTACCTCTGCTTTCCAAAGACTTGCAGTTTTTACAGTCTAGAACTGGGCTGAAAGTGCAGCCTGGGGCATGCCCATGTTCTGCAAGAAGTCCTGGAGTCCATGCATGGTTGCTTATTTCCTTCTGCTTCCCTCCTCTTCCCTGCAGGATCCTGGGGAGAGCAGGAGAAGAAAAAAGAAAAAAAAAAAGAGCTCTGCACCCTTCTCCCCCCGATTGCTTCCTTGGAGAGCGCTAGGCGTGAGAAGCAGCACTGTGTGTCCTCTCTTTCTGTATTTAGCGTATGATACAACACTCCACCACTACCACCCCTGGCTTTGCTGTGTGTGGGAGAGTTTTAACCTCTTTGGTTATGAAAAGCCGTTCCCCTGCACTATGAAAAGCCAAACTGTAGCCGACTATATTTCTGTGGACTATTTAGACTCCTTGTTTGAAAGCAGCAATGTGAATCTGAACAGGGTCTCAATCATTTATTCGTTTTTATTTGACTTGTGCTGGCAGAAGAGAGGTCTATGGAAATCAGTTCTGTGTGTCTGAGCAAAAATCTCATGTAGTGGGAGTCTACGTATGCTATATGGCCAGGCTCAGTTGTTAAAATTACAGCTACAGTTTTACCTAAAAATGTAGCTTTATTCTCCTTGACTGAAATTTTTGTTTTTTTCTTAACTCTGTATATGGAAAACCCCCAATACCTGTCTGCATTGGAATGTGGTGTTCTCTAGTCTTTCTTCCTGGAGTAAACAAGTTCGTTCAGATTTTTCTCTTAGGATGTGCCTTTTAAGTCTTTCAACCTTTTGCTTACTCTGGTTTTGTTTACACCTTTCTTAAGGCATAGCCTGAACAAGGGTCATCATGTCCCAGTCAAAGCCTTACCAGCAGCACACTGGTAATACCCTTCCATAACTGGGGGAGAATCTCACTTTGTTTTTTGAAGTAGTTAATGGAAAAACCATTAACTAGAAATGTGCCCAGGAGAAACCAGTCCCACGTGACAGGCTTTACCAGTTACACAAGAGAAGCAGCTGGCAAGGATTTGAAGTTTGCATTTGCTGCAGTTCTGTGTGTATATATAGTGGTTTCATTTGCATACTATTTTTTTAGGCTTCTTCAAAGGATGTCAAAAGCTATAAAAAAACCTCACCTTAATTTATCACATTCACAGCTTCCCTTTTACCCCCTGGCCTGTTCAATAGAGAAATTAGATTGGATTTTACATGAGGCGCTCTTGGTAAGTCCATGCTAGGCACAATTTTACACATGTTGTTCCCTAGGTGAACATTAATGGATTCTTTAGTTATTCTAGCTTTTTTTTTTTTTTTTTTAATATATATCAGAACTAGTCCATTTGGCTTACAATTTGCTGGGTTGTTGTTAACCCCTTCTTTTCAGACACATGCTATTATCTAGTGCTGGATTGCCATATATCTCCATGGAGAGGATAGTCACTGATTATCTTAAATTGCCTCTGCTAGGGCCTGATGGACTTCAGAGCAAGTTTCATTGGGTCCTGGCACATCTTTTTTTCCAAAATATATTTCACTTGTTCTTTTCCTGGTCTGAACTATGCTTCTATGCATTTTTCACACTGAATTTAGACCTATTTTGAGTTAGTATTACCATACTCCTGCCTTTACTTGTTATGGGCTGTTTCTGCATTATTTAATGACTGCCATTTCCTTTGTCTTATTTTAATTTCTAATTCTTTTATCAAACTTGTTTAGTTGTCTTTTATATGCCATGAAAGTTGAAACTGATTTCACGCCTTAGCATTTCTGATTCTGTTATCTGCAGCCTGACACCATTTCTTTCTTTTCATCTATTCATCTATCCTTTTGTCTGTATTCCCTTTTGAGTTTTTGGTCATTACATACTTGTGAATAAGCCAGGCCACGTATGTCTGAGGATGGCTCCTATGTTTCTTCTAATCAGAAAAGGTAATTGTAGCTGGTTTGGTTTTAAAAAGGACAGATCCCCTGCAATCTTTTATCCCTTAGATTATTTTCAGAAATACCCTGCCTGCATTTCTTGAAATTTCTTCCTGAAATCTGCATTGCTTTTATTTATTTCTCATCAACCTTGTACTTCTGACATCTGCGAGGAGATGCCTCTGAAGTTTATGATACTGACCGGTTATTCTCCTTGTTTTCCCTCGGACTTTGGCTAGGTCATTAGTTTTTTAACTCACTGACTTTTGTTACTGCCTGTCTTTACTTTATACTCTTCCTCCCTAAAGGAAGATCTGCTTGTTTTTAGCAGATGGACTCTAGGGTTGTCCTGCAGTTACTCTGCATTGGACACTCTCTAATATCAGAAACTTTCTGCAGACACCATTTCTGCAGCTCAGAAGCTGCAGCTGGTGGGATGGAGGAGAGCATCCCTGGCTCCTTCGTCGTTGTTTCCACAGATCTTCAGTGCTAGCACACCTAGTGCTGGTGGTTTTGCCCACAAGGATACATAAAGTAGCCAGAGCTGAGTGAGCAGTAGTAGCTTCTCACAATATCATGGATTTTGTCTCTGTGAGGAGGTGAGCTGTTAGATGATGGGTCTGTTTAGCAAATGTCTTCCCCAGAAGAGAGTCTCCATATCCTACATTCCCCATTTCTGTGTGCGGGAGTGACAGGGGAGAGCCTTCCAGCTGCGGGGGATGTGTGGCCTTTCTTCTTCTCCTCATCCCAGACTGCACTTCGGGAGCCAGCACTTCTTGACCTCAACAGCTGCAGATCCAGCTGCTGAGTAAAGTGGCACGCAGGTTTTCTCCTTTTGGGGCGTCTCTTCCTCGTGATGTATGGTGACATGTCCCTGTTAGGGAGAGAGGAATATACTGTCTGGGAATAAAACAACTGAAGAAAAATGTGATATGACATAGCAGGACAATCTACTAGTGCTGTGTGGTAGTTCTGCTTCTGGCATAAGGCACAATGGCAGTCCTAAAGGATGTATCTGATATAACTGTTAACACACATCTGACGAGAAAAATGATGGTGCCTTTTCCCTCCTGTAAAAGGAATTGCAGGAAAACATTATTTGGAGTGTTGCATGACAGACAAGAGAACAACAATTAAACAAGCTGCTCAAGAGCCTCTGACTTCAGGACTGCAGTAGTTATTGTTTCCCTGCTATGGTAGTTCTGAAGTTGCAGAAAAATATGAAGAAAAGATGCGTTGCTTGGACAGCCTTCCTAGACCTTGTAATGAAATACCTGTTCATTAAAGTGGACACAGATCATCTGGCAGGTAGATGAGAAGATTGACTAGAACAGTTGACATTTAGCCAGGCTGCAACATCAAATGGAGCCAAGCAAGAGCAGAACTTGGTATGACACTTGCATATGTGTTTGCATCTGATTACAGATACATTAACCCTACATGCTGGCATGATGTTTGAGAAGTTTTATTCCATGTGGGTTACACAGCAGCAACTAAGAAGGTTAAATACCCAGGGCTGCTAACTCAGGAGGCTGCCTTATAGGAATAATGAATAATCTCTGTAAAATGCATGGTGAGCCTTGATGCGTTTGCAGAGATATCCTAGTAGAAATATTAATTTAGTATTAGTCTAAAGAAAAATGAAATAAATGCATAACAACTAAACCACTCTGGAAGGAGCTATACCTCATTTTAGGAAATGGCATCCCTTCCCTTCAGCATATCAACCAAACCACATTGTGTTACATTATGACCACAGTTTAGTGTCATTCAATTATGGTCGGGCAGGTCTGAACACCTGAAGCTTTTACTAGTATAGTTATCCCTGTTATTATAAATTATATAGGCAGGAATCATGCAAGCTCTGGTCCTAACACAGTATATATCATAAGCACATGGAAAACAGCTCATCCTGACAGCTGGGTTTGCAGTGAAGTTGTGCAGGTGCTTTTTCTCCATGCCCAGGAAGCAGCCTGGATGAGCTGGAGGCCACTGCTCAAGAGTGGGAGCAGCACTGCTTCCCCCCACCAAATATCTTCCCCTACTTAAGCTTACAGTACAACTATTAAGGGCAAGTTTTCTCCTGGGAGTTTTTTTACCTAAAAGCCAAATGGCTGTAGATGAAGGACGCTCCCTGCATGTGTGTGGTGCAGCAGGGCCTTGGGGCAGCTGGAGGGTGTGGCTTTTCTTGGAGGAGGCTGCTCTGAGTCCTCA